TTTGTGTGAATAATAAAAACATCGATTTTTTTTCGTTGAAAAATTACATGAAATATATTTTTGCGAGTAACATATCTTCGTTTAACGCTACACTGAAAAAATTATTTTTGTATTTGGAACTAAAATATTTGATACGTACAATTTTTTTTTAGTTGGTACTATCATGTTTTTTACAAACTAGGATGCATCAATGAGAAAAGCAAAACATACAAGCGACAATTAAATTTTTTGGTTGCAATTATCAAACCCCATTTTAATTGACCCCAAATTTTAGCTCTATTAAATGTATCAAATATATAATTTCATTTGAGTATATTAGTTTTAAATTTGAGATATTAGTTTTAAATAGATACTAATTTTGTTTTCTTTTTTAATGTGTCATACATACACAAATATAATATAACACAAATATTTCCCAAACGAGAATTTTTTTCTATGTAATCGTATCGCGATACTTTCGTTCAGGAAATATCGCTCGGCTGCTTTTCGACAAGGAAAATACGGGGAAAATACATCGTCATACGCGACGGATTTCACTCGTTATCGAATATCGATACACGAAACGTCAGAATTAGAAATTGAATTCTGGAAAAATCGCACAAACTGGAATCGGACTTTGTCCGCCAATTTCAGATTTCGAGCAAACTTCTTGCGAATAATATATCTTCGCCATACTGAAAAAATTATTTTTGTATTTGGAATTAAAATATTTGATACATACGATTTAATTCGTATTTTTTACTTGTATCAAATAGGATGCATTTAATATCGCATTTAATGCCGCACAAAGCTTTCACAAAGGACGCATTTAGCTGTTTATGCCTGTGCGCGGTGCAATTTAAATAAACCTTCCTTCTCGTGACGTCGCGGGGATGAGAATGAGTTTCAAACGAAACGCGATCAGAGTTGCTCTCAATGCTAGGGGAATGCGCTCGCAGCGGGGCCACAGCGTAGTGGCGCAACCGAAAATGTACGATTTCGCAGAATGGGTCGAAACAGGTTTTTGCCCCGTGAATTCACACGTCTATTCTGGCGCAAAGAGGTCGACAACTTCTGAAGGTCTAAGAGGCGGTGGCGGCGGTGGCAACGGCGGTCACGGCGGATCACGGCGCTAGAAAGCGTAAAGGGAACATCGAAATTAACAAACGCGGCCCCGGATGTGCGTGAAGATCCGAGCTTCAGTGAACAACACCAAGAAGCGTGCCTTTGGAGGCATTCGTCTCTTCGACTTCTCGCCACGTGGAGAACGTCTCGTCGGGTATGTCAGATTGGTGCAAAAGATCTGTCACTTTCCTTTGAAATCCTCATAAAAATCCTGATAGAAGTGTAATGCAGTTTTTGAGCAGTGGATAATTATGTTAACTTTTGGTTAACTCTGGTAATCGAAGAGTGAAACTACTTGGAATCCCACATAGAAAAGAAGAACATTGTCGTTTGGAAAATATCTTTATTTTCGCCATGTTAAAATGAGATTGTATAGCATTAAATGAAAATAAATTACTTACATCAATACATTTTATATAATTCAACAAAGATAAATATATTCTTTTTAATAAAAAAATAATTTTCCTAAATACAAAGCACAAAATATTGGACTGAGAATATGATGTCGGGAGATGTCATTACCATCAAATTAAGCAAATTGTACTCCTTATGAGACTATTATAATATTTAAATAAAACTGTAATTTGAAATTCAAGACTTCAACATTCTTCTAACAAAATTATACATCGTTGTTTATACATGAAACAATGATTATTAATTTGAGTATATTAATTTTAAATGGATACTAATTCTTTTTTTCTGTGCAATTAGAATGTAACTCTTTTCTTGCAGTTATTGCGGAGGATTATGCAAAATCTGAACCCATTTACTGAATGAAAACAGAATAGAAAATGAACAACAAAATATCCGATTGATTAATAATCAAATCTATTGTAAAATAGGCAGAGTTGTCCTAGTATTACATTTTTGTACACAATTTTTAATTGAAAAATTGTAATATTAATGAGTATCATAGCGCAGGAAATCTTCGACACGTAATATATATTAGGTTGATCCATAAGTTCATAGATTTTTAAATAAAAGAATTGAAATGTACTTTATTGTCTTCTCTCTCTCTTGTTAAAAACGACTTTAATCAATAATATATGCGCCATAATCAATAATATTCTGTTCGACAATCTTTTGCCATTTTTCATATAATTTCATAATTCCTCTCTCGTGAAACTCTTGTTTCACAGCGAAGTTATTCCGGCGAAGAAGCATCCCAAGTGATTTTTCACATCTTCTAAAGAAGTTTATACCAAAGTTTATACTGTCAAGGGAGTTCTGTTCATCATGTTCTGAGTTTAAGCTATCTTGACAGTTTCATTTGTATCATTACCATCAGAATAATCTAATTTCTGTGTTCTCATCGCAATGAAATTCTGTATAACTAACATATATCCCATTTATCTTCTGCTCACTTTTATTTCGAACTTTAATCGCTATCTCTGTCACAGAGCTTAATATTGTCAAACATCTTATTTCCTCCAATTTTCTTTTTCTTACACTCTATGCTTTTCTATATTCACTTATTGCTCTCGTAATTTTAAGCTTATTTTTAACAATATAAATACATTTTAAATTTATTCACGATAGTCATTATGCGTATACATTATAAAACTGATATTATGTCTTGGAAAGAATCGGTACATATTGTATAATAAACTGCTTTGACCATTGGATAAAACTCTATCAAGTTTTTATCCAATTCTTAAGCAGTATTTTTACAACTAATGAAAATACATTAATATTAGATAACAACTAGGTGAATGTCTACACAAACTGCATACACTTCGGAAAAGTTTTCAAAGGAAAATGTAGGAAGTCTTGGTTAAATGTCTAAAAAATGCCAGTCGATTATTTGTCCATTATTCACAATAATCAGGATTGGACAATTACATTTCCTACTTTATCTGGCAAACCTCTTGCACCTATCTTATTTTGAGAAACTCGCGTTATATTGTGGTCACATCTTAATTGTGTCTAATAATCATACTGAAAAATAAGATCAGACGAAACAACTTGAATTGAACAAACTCAATGTCAGGATTGTACATTGCGAATCAACTGTTCCAATTCTTTCGGCAAAATTTTCATGTTCTTTTAAAATCTTTTGTTTGTGTTGAACGATTACCGACGCATTATCAGTCACTGAAGCCTGATCTACAATATGTTCTTTGCGTTCTGTTTCTTGTCTTCTGTCTTTTTCTGGCTTAAAGCTTAAGATTTAAATCAGAAAGAGGTTAAGACAGAAAAAGAAGCAGGAAGCAAAGAACACATTGTAGATCAAGCTTGATAATCATTTGTCGTCTATTTTACTTAACCTCCTAACCAGAGATAGAATCAACTCGTATTATGCAGTTGAAGCAATCTTTTGATAGTTAAAAAAGCATCTGTATTATGCAAACAACGACGTGTCAGTTTTGTTGACACGTTGATCTTTCTTTGATTGTACGAAAACTCAAGCTAACGATTGAATCCAAAGATACGGCGAATACGTGCAATGCAAGAAACCTACATCTGTTATCGCGTCTTATCGGCTCCCTGTTGGCAATGTACAACCGCTTTTCCAAGTACGATTAAGTACGCTTTATACACTTAACTTAATGACAGTAGTATCATCGGTGACTGTCACAGCACTCAATATGCTCATTTCTTACCGTTGACTAAATCACACAGTCCAAATTCGCACGTTAGATCGATAAACTGATTTGATTTTCACTCAATCCCGACTACGGTTTGCACGTTACAACCGATCCGCGTGGCCTTCAGGTTCGGTTTTTTTTTGTTCGATATTTTGTATTGTAACGTACGTGAGACTTCCGTGAATACTTCACAACAACGATGGTAAAACCATACAGCAAGCACGTGAATATAATCTACAGAAAAACTGATAATTTTTTCCCTTTCCTTCCCGCGCAAATCGTGTACACGCAAGGTTAAATATAACGTAATATCGTTTCTAGCATGAGTCGATCGAAACATGACATTTAACTAAAGAGAAGCAAGGTAACGGTCTGAATATTAAAATGTACTGTTGATACTAAGATAAACAACATCATAGTTTTAAAACAAAATTATTAGACTTCAAATTAGTTTATCCTGAATTAGGAAAAATAATTGAGAACATTTCTGCATAAGTCCCAATTATGAGTCAAATATTACGCGTCCGTATAACAGATTGAACTTGACACTTGGAAAAGTAAAGAATACAATTTGATTTCTTTATTGAAAATATGCGAAAAGGTTTAGTTTACCTACTTGTCAATCATTTCATGAATCACATCTCTTACATAATTTTTTATTTTTAGTGTAGAATTGTGTATATACGATGGCAAAGCATTGTTCATGTCTTCATTGCTATACTAGTTAAAGAGAATAATTCTAATAATATATCAATTTCTCTTTAGTATTATATATATTACAACTTTAATTAATAATAACACATGTAATTACACGAACTTGAATTGCTTATTTTACAATAATATTCCGACTTATTTTGTTTTTAAAAATGTTTACATGTTTAACTCTAAAATCCTACTAAATATCAATAAATTCTGTCAATCCTAAACATAGGTAAATTTTACCTAGCGCATTTTCACTTGCTCATAACTTTCGCGAAAAAGATTGAAATTCAATAATTTCTTTTGTATTAAATATAAAAAACGTTGAGGGATTGAATCTATTGATATTTTCGCGATTTAAGGGGGGAGTTTACTTTAGGAGGCCGGGAAATAGGTGATTTTTCGTAATTTTTTAAAGAGGAACAATAATATTTATCGTTTAAAAATTTTTAGCACGTTTTAATATAACTATTGAAGAGTACATTTAACTTTTTTTGTACATAAAAAAGTATTATTAATGATAAATAAATAAACATTTAGTTGTGCGCTTCGCCATCAGAGTTACCATTTTGTGTACATTGTCGGGACTGTAATTCTTGTCTGAAACGAAAATGGAAAAAATATTTTCAATTCTTATATAATTTTATCCTAAATGAACCTATAAAATTAAAAAATATATATAAAAATTAAAATTTTGTGCGACTTTGAAGATAAAGTTACGATTTTCACCATGTAGTGTCCATTTCTTTATGCAAAAAAGAAATAGTTAATATTAATTCTTTTTTTACTTTTTTAAGTTCATCGAGGAGGGTTTAGCATTATCTAACTAATTAGCTTTATAAAAAGTCGATTCGTCAAATTTTTTGTTAATCGTGTATATAAAATTGAAGAAAATGCAAGAAACAGATTTTGAGAAAAACGCGTTTAAAGTTTTCGGTATAATTCTTGAATACTTTCAGTGCTCAGAAGCTAATCTGCTATTCCAGAGCCATACAGTAGCCCTTCAGCTTCCTCATTAAATTCGTTTTGAGCAATTTGAGCCATCCTACGAGTTGCTTGGGCCTCTCTCGTGCTACTTGTTCGTCGACGCTCTTGCGTAGAGATTCGCTGTGTATCATACATATTTGCATATTGCTTACATTCCGGTCCAATATTAATTTCTAATTCATTCATAAATTTTAAAATGGCAAAATATCCCTCGTTGAAAATGCCGGCGACAATAAAAGCGGCTGTTTCAATTATTTTTGCACCGCAATTGAGGTGCTTTGGCGCCAATCTCCAGATGGTCGAGTTGAAATTTTCGTTAGCGTTTTGGGTGTGTCCACTCAGAGATCTCGTTAACAAATTTTCATTTGATAAATCTCTATAAATAGAAATAGAAATCAAATGCTTCTCGATATTTGAGTGGAGTGGAGGGGGATGGTCATAGTTTTCCACTGTACCCATCGCCTCATACTTTCGATATTGGCACCAACTGTCGGTTCCGGTCGGATATTTATCGTGCCGCGAATTTTCATTCCTTGAACATAAATGTTCTAACGTTGTCCATATCGTTTTTTTCATGTCAGCTACAGAATTTAAATTTCTCCTTATCGCAAACCCGTAATATGTAGTTAACTTTTTTATTAGAACGTCTGTCAGCTTTCCTTTACCGCCAAACTTGTGTTTTTTTTATATGTACAAACAAATTTTCAAACCAGGTATATATAAACGCTGACTCATATTCGTTTAACGAACATATAATGAGCCAATGAAAAGAAATAATCGAGAGACGGAGCGCGCTCCGCATAAAGCCCCATCTACATAAAGATCGTTCTACATTAGTTGCAAGTCGATTGCAACTCTTGTTGCGACAGCCAATCAGAAGCGTCAATAGCACCACTGATGCTTCTGATTTGTTGTCGCAATAAGAATTGTGTCTGCTTGCGATCGGCTTGCCGCTCCAGTTATAAGCGCTGAATCTACTGAAGAACTTCAAAATTCGCTCTAAAATTTTAGAAACATATTCTCAAACAGTTGTACTATCAATTTATGAGAAAAAAAATCGACTTTTTCCGACCTTGTAAAGTAGAGTCCCCCTTAATGGGCCGGCAAAATTTTATTCATGTTTAAAGCTCTAGGATTGAACGTGAAAACGTGTTAATGTCATTGCGCAGCTATTATTAGACACGTCGGAACTAAAAATAACGTTATGAAGTAAATTAGAACAAAGTCCCTGCACGTGTAATATCATGTCTTGAAACACGGACATATAATCACAACTTAAATTTGCACCGGTGTGCCGTCGTCTTCTCTGAAGACGATGGAGCAAAAGGCGCGCGCTCGGTGGGATGTTTTTGCCCCAATTTCGTCAGCGGAACACTAAACACCGGAGAAGTGAACTGATCCTCACAGTGGAACAATAAAATTGCACTCAGGGCGCGCCGTGTGGTTGCGCCGGTTTAGCCGGTAGAAAAAACGGTGTAACGGTATACTTGACCCGAAATTGGGACTCGACCTATCAATTAGGACCGCTGCTACTTTATATACGCGCGTGCCCCCATCTCGCGACACCGCTCGTGCGGCAGCGCGTGCACGCGCGCTGCTTTTACACGGATGCATGCGCGCTTATACATACGCGTAGTTACGCAAAAGTCTCGGCCACGGAGAGCGCGCGAATTTATACCCGCGGCGCACGTGACTTTCTGGTTATTTATTAGAGCTACTGTCGCGCGCACACGACAGATTTCCGTGCCGTGGCTCAAGGGCGGCAGAGGAGGAGAGGGGGAAAGGGAGGGGATAAGCACAGAAGTCGGCGCTCCACTTCGCTCGCAGATAGAGACCCTCTATAGTCAGAATCTCTATAAGCACATCACATCTATAATCAAATGATTTTCGTTATAATTTAGATATAATAAGTCCATTTTTTGAGTATAAAGGAATGATAAAGTTGCTACCAAATTTATATACACCTATCTATACAAGATAAGTCACCACATCAGTCCCAAAGTCATCCATTTTACGATACATAATATTTCAAATTCTATTTAAAAAAAAAAAAACATCTTTTTCCCTAATTTTATCATTATAAAATAATCGAAAATAACGTCTCTATTTCAGTATATCCATAGATAACCTCCACAAGAAATTTTTATCAGCGCGATGTGTGGCGTTATATAAAATGTAAATATGATTATTGGTTGCGTGCAAAATTATAAAAATAAAAGTAATAAAGAAATTTGTATGGCGATTGTGCCAACAAAATATGAGAAGCGAGCATTATGGATTGATATCGTTACGTATCATTACAACGAAAGTCGAAAGTATCTAGCAGTAAGAACATGGCAATGTATGCTACACGTAAACAACTATTTCCCGTCCTTTCAAATGTTTATTTTATTAACAAAATATTGTTACGTCCAATTATAGTTATGTGCAATTTCTGTTTTAAATAAAGATCTCTTCAAATGAAATACTTTTATCTGAATAAACCTTCATTCCGCCATTTCCGATCACTTTAGAAACTAGACCAATCAAACAGCAGGACTGAGATGCCAGGACTCTAACTAGAAAGTCTCTACTCGCGAAAAACAGTGATTTGATATCGTTATCGTCATAAACGCGGGTCTCCTTTTTCTCCCTCTCCCCGCTCGCGTACTCCGGATTTTTTTATAAAGTTCATTAAGAAAATGCCATATTTGAGAACTTTTACCGCCCGGAATAGTGACTCTTTTCTGCAAAGTTTACGTCGTAGGAGGATTTGTAATCCTCTGCAACCAATATAACATAAACGATTGGCTTTTATGTACTGAAAGCACGCGCAGTGATGAATTGGAGCATTATTGCTCAATACGTGATAAAAATGATAATTTTAATATTGATATTACGAATTGACAGTTGGCGTAAATACTTATACTTGATGCAAAAGTTCTACAGTTTGTACGCGCGTATATTTGCCTCGTTCGAAAATTTCAAGGCACATTTCTATATTCTTACTAACTGAATTTCAAGAAGCTCAAAAATATACAAAAATTTACAGAAAGATTTCTATATATGCGTGGTTATGTTTCCTGCTAGATAAAACATATTATATAAGATTTACAAGAAATATCTATATCTACAAGAAAATGATAGTATGATCGTGTTAGTGACGATCGCCACTACGTCATCGACATTTTTCGAGTTCGTCATCCACTTCGGTATCCTTTTAAGGGGATGCTATTCCGGAGTCGAAATTTTTATCGACGCAATGCTGATTTTTTTCTGCAAAGTTTACATGGTATTGACTGCGTAGAATTACAAACGCTCTTACACAATAAAAATATGTGCGACAACGAATTGGAGTATTACTCGATATATGATAAAGAAATGATAAAGAAATTTCAGAGTTAATGTTTTATGCGTAAATTAGCCTGTCAGACAACGCTTTGTCAGTTAAAGTAAATATTTGTCTATAACTTGTATGTTTTGAACGCGAGTTTGCTCTGTTAACGAAAATTTCGAGGAACATTTCTGTATCTTTACAACTAAACTTTGAAGCTCAAAAATATTGGAAAAATTTGCACAAAGATTTCTATATATGTGCGTTAAGTTCCTCGTTAACCCTTATTATGCATTGTGGGGTCAAATAGACCCCAGAAAAAATAAATAAAATAAAGTAAATCTATAAAATAAAAAATATAATACAATATAATAAATCTATATGTTTTGGAAAAATTACTTGCTTTTTTTCACAATAATCCTAATTTCGATATTCAAAATAAATACCTTTTTTTGAAAATCCTGTTACTGTACTAATTTTTTTCTTGAAGAGATATGTCTTGAAAGTAGTTTCTTAAAATTTTACCTTGAAATATCAAAAATTGTGTCAGTTATGATTTTTGGAATAAATCAAGTCATTTTTCGCGTTTTTTGGGCTTTCCAATTTTTTTCTTCATTTAAAATCAATTGTCGTCTAGAAAAATTATTGCGTCATATAAAAAGATGTTTGAAATATAATCCTGGAATTTTTTCAAATAAAAAAAGCGAATAATTTTATTGTAGCAAACGTTTTTGTAACTGGAGTCGCGAAAGACCTCAGTGTTCCCATTATGTGATTCTACTGAAATGTGCACAATAAGAGTTAAACATGGTAAAACAAACCAATACATGTTTACGTAGAATCTATATTTTATACAAGAAATACGAAAAAAGAATAGTATGATCGCCGTTATTAACATTTTTGGAACTCGTCATCCATTTAACATCATCGCATGAGCATGCGATATCATATAATAAATTGTCTCGTGAGAAGCTCGACGCCAAAGAATCGTCCGGCTTTCGTATTGTTTCCATATTCGTCTTTCTACATCTCATAATCAATTTCAATCAGCATAGTCATATTTATTTAGCTAATAGAACAGTAAAGGAAAAGTAAACGATCGTGATCTCTATGTAGGTTTCCGTTTGCTAATCGGCTCTGCTGCACAGTTTATCAGATAAAATTACGGAAGTATTCGACTTTGAGATATCAACTTGTCATAACGCTCGCTCATTAGCACTCGAGGATTCGAGCCAACAATGCCCGAACTACGTGAATGCCATGCAGGTAAATTTGCGCGACCTTCTCGCTCAAGGTTCGCGATCTGTTCCTCTCTCTTTCTTTTTCTTTATCATCGACTTAAGAACGTCCGGTTTGAACGTCTCTCCCCCTCTGCCCTTCTTCTCCATGTCAATATTGTATCGTTATTTATTATTGAAAACTATATGGGAGTTGGACAAGAGAGGCTTGAGTCACAAAAAATATATAATTATATATAAATATATTTATATATAATTTTTATATGTAAAAATATATATAAAACGGGGTGACTTTGAGATTGATATGGTGACTATAGCACATTTTTCAAATTTGAAATTTTGCATGATGAAAATTTTTTTGTGAGCAAACGATAAACAGATGCAAAAAGAAAAATTTCGATTTTTTAATATCAGGAGCCAGTGTGAAGATAGTCCTTCAAATGATAAATTGCGTATAACTTAAGAGGAGCTAAAACGACAATTCCAACGGGATTTGTGAGCAAGCGATGAGCAAACAGATACAAAAAGGAAAATCCCAGAATTTTGAATTTTTAATATCGAGAAAACTAAATTATCAATTAGAACTTTAGAACTAAAAAAAGTTAACAAAGATTCCAAACGAGGCATTCTTGAGAAAAGCGATGAGCAAGCGATGAGTAATCAGATTAAAAAAAAAATTTCGATTTCTTAACATGGGAAGAAATAATGTGAAGTTGGCCAAGAGAAAGCAAACGGAAATTCCAACGGGTGAGTGAATTCCAAATTCGTGAGTAAACAATGACTAAACAAATGTATATTAAAAAATTTCGTTTTTTAATATTTTGAGGCTAACTTCATATAAATCATTTTTTAATATCAATTATCTCTGTAGATTTTTTAATATCAATCATCATTTGTAATTAAATACAAAATATATGCGATATCGTAGTATTTGCTAGTTTTATTTATTTATTTTACCTCATCTCTCGTATCTAAATAATTTTCGTTATAATTTAGATATAATAAGTCCATTTTTTTAGTATAAGGGACTGGTAAAGTTGCTATCAAATTTATGTACACCTATCTATACGAGATAAGTCACCACACCAGTCCCAAATCATCCATTTTACAGCATATAATATTTCAAATTCTATTAAAAAAAGCATAATATATAAAAACATATAATATATAAAAACATATAATATGTAAAAACCTAATTATATTTCAAGCAAAAAGTCTCGTAAAAAGTATCTTTCCAATTTTCTCATGTCATCTTAGATGATTCAATATAGTCGTTAAAGAGATGTCAAAGTGGATGACGAACTCGGAAATTGTCGATAAGATAGAGGCGATATTGCTAATACAATCATACTATCCTTTCCACATTTCTTATACATATAGATCTTATGTAAATTTGTACCGTTTTGTTTTGCCACGTTAGCAGAAAACATAATTACTCATATATAGGAAAGTCTTTACAAACTTTTCGTATATTTGCGAGCTTCCACATTCGGTTGTAAAGATACAGAAATATGAAATTTTCCTTAGCGGGGCAAATATATACACACACAGTACGTTCAAACTGTGGAACTTTTGTATCAAGTAAATATTTACGTTAACTGACAGCTCGAGATATCAATTTTGAAACTTTTTGTCATTTTCGCCACATACTGAGCGATGCGCAAATTCATTATTGCACGTATTTCCAGTACACAGAAGCACTTGTAATTGCAACCAATACGACGTAAACTCTGCAGAAAAGAGTCAGTATCTTGTCGATAAGGTTCTTCAAAAATAAATGGTATTCCCTTAAGCAAACATTTTCCTCGCTTTTCCATGACAAATAAACACGCACGGACGTGTGTGGGAGAGCTACTGGTTTGTCGCCGTTCGCAGCGATACATGATTTATGAGTGCAATGAGCGTAGGCGGAACTGTCAACCTGAGTGCAGGACGATAAGTCGTAGGTGCGCTTCCGGTGCGGCGCGCGTTGTAACTGCGTTAATTACTGTACGTAATGACTGTTATCGCGCGCGGGCCGTGCGTCCGCGGAATTGCCGACGTAAGACGTAAAACGCATCGTGCGCATGTGGATTAATTGCGAGAGTCTGAATCGCCGAGCAATCTCTTGTGACGTTCGTCACGACGCGAGATTAAAATACGCGGAGCGGGAATGTGTCCGCGAGAAACACGAACGAGCCGAAGCACGAGAACTCGCGCGGGGATATCTTTGCGTCGGGCAATGTTGTATCGCGCATTTCATTGAAACCGGTGATATGTCCTCGACGTGTGTATCTCTTGACGAATTCTTTTCTCCCGCGTGTCAAGTGTGTTAGATTGATCGGGAAGTCTCCCCGCGAAATACGAAATTTCATTTGTCGGCGCGTTTCCACATGAGAACTGCTTCGTTCACATCACAATTGTTCGTTGTCTACAAGAAGAAACTTTCGAATTGACCTGACAGATTTCAGGGAAAATACGTGTATTATAATTTGCAGCAGTGTGGAAACGAGATGTGCAACGTGGAAATGTCGTTTTTGTGCATTAGAGAAGAGAGAAAGACAGAGAGAACGAAAGAGAGAACGAGAGAGGAGAGAGAGGGAGAGAGAGACTGACACACCCACAGAGAGAGAGGGGGGAGAGAGAGAGGCAAGCAGACAGATAAATAGACAGACCACCGCATTTACTTATTTAGCAAGTAGTCGAGTCAATGACATAAACACGCTTCGTCGAGAACCCGGCATTGTCCTCGACGCTTTCCTCTGGGAAAACGAAAAACACGGATAAGAGCGATACGAGGGATCAAAAGGCGCATGACGCACCAAATTGAAGATAGAGGTTGCCGGTTAGAGGCGAAAGAGAGAAAGAGAGGGGAGAAAAGAGACGAAGGAACTGAAACATTGATTACGCGTGACGAGTTGATTAGGACGTTCGAACGCGCGCGATTCGAATTTTAGCGCAAATATATAAAACACAAGTTGATAAAAAGTTGATAAAACAAGATTTGATTGGAGAAATGAAAATAAACATATAATAATATACAAACAAATGATTGGCGATTATTTTGTAACGCACATGGGAGGTCCGCCTACTCCTCCTGTATTTCACACATTTAATTTTAGAGCGATTCCCCTGCAATCGGGATGCTTTTGTAATCAATATAAAAGATACGGCGTACGAAATTTAATTTAAAAAATATTATTACATAGATAAAAGACTGGTGGAATTAATTTAAGTGCGCATAACAGCTCCGTCTCTTCCTACATTTCGTGTATTTAATTTTAAAATGATTAAAAGTTTGGATTTTTTTGTAATAAATATAAAAAAATAAGTTCTATAAATTTGATTTAAAAAAAAAATAATACAAACGATTGACAGTGAAATTAATTTAAACGCGCGTAACAAGTCCGCCTGCTTCTCGCATCTCGTGCATTTAATTTTAGAACGAGCATGTCTCTCGGAATGCTGTTGTTAGCAGCCAAATATAAAAGAACTTGATTATAAGGGAAATAAAAGTAAATAATATTGAGCTGCGTAATAATGTGCTGCGTAAGCAACTTCGATTTTTTCCAGACGAAATAAAACCATAATATTTTCGTGTCGTTAATAATTTTATGAAAAAACGTATGCAAAGGATGACAGAAGATCACAGATCAAAACAGTGCATAGATTTTTTCATAATACCGTAACGACATAGAAAACGTTTTCTTTGATTATTTCGTTTGTCCTAAAAAATCCGAAATTCCTTATATTGCACAAGCCAACAATATACAAACGAGCGAGAAAGATTGACAATTAAATAGATTTATAATGCAATACAACAGGTCCGCCTGCCACTCCTTTATTTCGTGTATTTAATCTCGGAATGATCGAGCGTGTTTCTCGGAATGCTGTTGTTAGTAACAACGAGTCGTTTTGCTCGTGTCGCGGCCCAAACACGTCAAATAAAATTTAGCAACGAAAACGTCTGAGGAATGTTTCGGGCTGAAAGTGCGGTGATACCGTTTTGCCATTATGTAGCTACCAGTTGCTGACCGTCGTTTTAATCGTTTCTTATTTTACACGGACGATTGGTCACGATGATACGACATTTTGATCGGGCCGAGTGATACGAGAAATTTTCCGTCTACCTAGTGTCGACCGCACATTGCGACTGTACATAGCCGATGCATATACGTCATCCGCGTCAGTGAGTATCGTGACGATCTATAAAAGGCGTCGCGCCAAGGATCCGCGATTCAAATGAAAATTGCGAATAAAGGGCGGATCGGCCAGCTACCTCCTCGCGCTGACCGTGTCGCTTCATGCTCGCGACATTTCGCGCTCACCCGTTATAAGCGAGATGACATTCAGCCCGCGCGTTACCGACGATGCGATTTTCTGAAAGCTCTCTCGCGAAAACCGAAACGCCCTTATCGGAACATAGAACAGGGAGGAGGAAGTTTGATAACACGTGTCCCACATGGGGGCGTAGCCGTGAGGCAAGAAAGAGAGAAAGAAAATTTATCATGAGATCCCCTTTGTTGAGCGATGCGTAAACGCACAATCATAAGTCCATTCCTTTCGCGTGTCTGCGTTATCACATTTCCCGCATTTACTGCTAGACGGCCATTGACACGTTCGCGGAAAGAGAGAGAGAGAAATCGCATTGCCGCAGCAAAATTGCACTCCAATACACCTGCAAGTACATCTTCGAAATCGCAATTCGTTACTCGCGAGTGCACATTTCGCCCTCGATAGAAAGGGAAAAAAACGAGATGCGAATAATTGCAACTGAGAAATGAGCGGATCTCATCACAGATTCGAGATCAGTTTCAGTCTCTGCGGTAATTATTCGAGATCTACAAAATTAGAATTCAAAACTCCATGCAACGAATTATCAGCAGTTTTTTCACCAGGTGTGTATTTTCATGGCGTCTAAGGGGCGCATTGTCTGCGATGCATTAAGAGACTACTCATAAATTCACTATTTACCGAACAAAATTTACATTTTTACATATTTCTACATGTCCTACATATTTCTTTCACTGTTTAATGCTCCAAGCACAAAGCAGTGTTCTGGCCTGCCATCCGACCATCACACAATACTATTCTCCCTTCCATGCCACATTTCCCGATAGGTTACATTTATAACGAGTTCTCTTATCAGAATGATATCACTTTTCACACGAAGTCACGCTGGGAAACAATGGTCATCGCTTCCATCATAAGGTTGTATGTGCAAAGTTGCGATACTCAGTATTAAATGTCTCACGAACGCGCGGTATCGAATGTCTCGCAAATCGCGGACTAACATTTCTGCACGATTTTAAAGCATTTAAAGCTAAAAGTGAACAAAACTCCTTGAAGATCCATCTCGCCAATTGAAGTCAATCGCGACGCAAAGCAAACGTGCGTATTCCGTCCGCGAGAACTGTCACCCGCTCGCACAATGACGAGCGTAAACACTCTCGACTCGAGTATTCAAGTGCATGTACGTCATCCGATTCTGTCCCGTCCGGTTTGCCTGTTTCTTCCCGCACCCTCCATCCCTCCTCCTCCTTTTCTTTCTTTTTCTCTCTTTCTCTCTCTCCCTCTCTCCTTCTCCGTTTCTCTTTCCCTCTATTTCGGGAACGAACAAATATTCGCGATCCCGCGCCTCCGGGAAATAATCGCGACGCAGCGTCGAGCGAGACACGTGCGACGACCGCGGCCATTCGGTCGCGAGCGGGCACAACATGGCGGTGGGTTTTCGCGGCGAAAAGATATCACCGAGCGGACGGGCCGCTAGAGACACTTGCCCCGAGGACTCACCTGCAAAGTCGTGTTCGTGTCGTCGATGATCTTGTCAGTCTCCATGTTGATCATCCTCCGGGCGCGGAGAGCGGCGCGTCTCGCGTGGGTGCGTTTTCGCGTGCTACGTTTAGGCGCGACTACGGGCGAGAGGAGCCTGCGGTGGTGCGCTCTTCACGCGCGAGTGTGGCGTGAGAATAGTTGGCTGGAGCACCCCGCGGTATACGTGTGGTGGTGGCGGTAGTGGTGTTGGTAGCGGCGGCGACGGCAGCGGCGACGATGACACACCGTACAGACGGGAGAACGCGCGACGTAAGACGGACAATCGCGCGAGCGGTTGAGAACACCGTTCAATACGGACGACGACACAGCACGGACGACACTGGACGATGACGACGAGGACGCTCACGAGCCCTCGCCATGTACAGGAAGTCGGGACGACCGCATCTCCACACCAACCATAGGAGCCGTGGCAATAGCCGCGTCACGAGTGACGGCGTCTGACCTGAGAAGCCGTGCTAGAAGACGCCCGCTTGTCCTGCTCGCTCTCTTTCTCTCTCTCTCTCTCTCTCTCTCACTCACTCTGCCTCCTTCTCGTCGCGATGGGTATCGGAGTGTACTGCGGATTGCGCAATATTCGCGTCGATCGTAACTCAGCCCTCCTCGTAGCACAGACTGAACTAAACTGACCGGACGGAGGGAACGGAACGAGAGCGCACGAATGGACGGACCGACTGCAGCGCTACGCGACCAGCTCGAGAATGCGCGCGACTCTCGAGATATCGCGAGCGGCGGCGCCCGATTGGCTGGCGCGCTCGAGTCGGACGCGGATTGGCTGACGTATGCGATCGAAGATGAGCGCGATACTTTCGAAATGCCATCGCGCCACACAACGAAGCACACGTTTCACGTGCGACTTCCAAGAGAGAAAGGAAACAAATTGCGAAGACAACAGATACAGCTGAACAGGTCTTTTAAAAAAATGTCTCGTTGGATAGAATAAAATAGTCCATAATTGAGATATTTTTTGAAGAACTAAGGCTTGTGTACTGATAGTCGCTACTTGATATTTATCATTAGTGAGATGGTTATATTTAAGTTAGATATGAGTCTTTAAGGTCCATTTAATAATTAATAATTATCACCTGAAACTTGTCTCATGTGAAAACTCAGATTTTTATTTAGAGTTAGAGCCAAATTTTTCAGTTGAATTATGATATATATATATATATATATATATATATATATATATATATATATATATATATATAT